GAGGAGGAAACAACAAATGTTATCAGGTAAAAATCATAATTTCAAATATATTTAATCCTAACCATTTCTCTCTCTTTTTTGTTCACATCCAGCTCTTTCCAACACTCAAGACAAAGACATCTCAGAAAAGGAGAGTGACAAAGTCACTGGTGGAATGAGCAAAAGTTTACAACAGAATTACAGCCAATCTGAAAACCAAGAAAATAGGGGAGGATTTCACATTAACAACCACCGCCCAAAACCATTCAACACTTTAGATTCTCTTTCGATGGTATATCAAAAGCAGAGCCAGGTGGCAAGTAAGTTTTGGTCCATTTTATTGTAGTGGAAGAGAGGGGTATCACTCATATCTTCTCATCTTCTTGCTTTCTTTTCATGCTCTCATATGGGGATAATGAGTAGCTTGACTGTGTGGGGCATGGCTAATGGGGAAAAGAAGAGATTTCTTTTTCAGTTGACTCTGCCAAAGGAAAAACTCTCTTTCCTTGGCAGTCCATGTTGTTTGAAATTAGTTGAGTCATTTGGAACCAGACTCTAAGAAAAGGAACAATCTTTTTTATTTAAAAAAAAAAAGATTATTGAACAAGAATCAACACTTTTCTTGAAAAATGGGCTGTAGGGGCAGCTAGGTGGCACAGTGGACAGAGCACCAGCCCTGAAGTCAGGAGGACCTGAGTTCAAATCCGGAGTCAGACCAAACACTTGACACTTACTAGCTGTGTGACCCTGGGCAAGTCACTTAACCCCAATTGTTTAAAAAAAAGTTTAAAAAATGGGGTGTGATATGAAAATTATCTTCATTCCATTCTGTCTCCTGAAGTGGATCTAAAAGTAATTTTTGAAAAGGAGATTCCTACATGGTCTTACCCAAAGAAAAAAGATGATTCAAATCAAAAAATATTAACTTCCCAAAGTGGTTATTTTGGGAATATTATCATGTGGCAATACATATTCTTTCATGATGTTCTAAAAAGGTGTTATATATACTCAGGGCAGTCACCAAATTTCTAGAAGAAGATAAATATTCTCCATGATTTCAAGAATGTTCCTTATCAGTTATTCCTAAGTTTCTCGTCTTTTCCTGAGGATTCATTTTTTTCAAAATCTTTTCTTGGTATCACATATTCGTGTTTTCATCCAGTGTTGCTTTGGGTCCTTTCATAGGGTGGTCTATCCTAAAACTGAAAGGAGATATTAATAAGCATGTGTCTGCCCTCCAGGAAATTCAAAGTCACCACTATCACCTTCACTCTTTGTCAAAAATGAGGAACAGAAATTTGATGGAAAAATCTGTACAAGCTTTCAGGAGGAACTTAGCCCAGATGGAGAGAAAACAAGAAGCTCTAAATCTCGACCCGACTTGGCAGAAAACACATGTAGTTCAGGAGTATTCCAGCCAAATATCCCAGGTAAGGCTCTGACATTTACTCTATCTATTTTCCAACTTTTTCACTTTTCACCCCCTCATGCACCATCTCTTCCACATTCATTTTCTTTACCATCCTCACTAACAGAAAATAAGATGTCTTTTTTATTTTTATTTTTTCCCAAGCAATAAGGGCTTTTATTTTACTAACGGGTATAACACACATGAACCTTACATTAAATATTTTATTCCAATAGAGAATTCAATCTCTCAGGAGTTTCACTCATTCTGAAGTCTCTAAAATATAGTATAGAGAATGGGGTCTTCAGAATTATTTTTTTCAGTAGTTTGGGCAAACTCAAGAGCTGAATAGACTTTTAAACTGATAATGGCACATAACCAGCAGTAGAGGGCCACAGCATGAAAGCAGTGGAAAAAATGGAGAGTCAATTTCCAACTCATAGGTACACATACAAATAGAAATTGATAGCCCTAGCTTCACTTGGATTTGATTTGACACTTTTACTGTGGACTATTAGCAGTTTTCTATCGCAGTTATCTCGAGTCTGAGTTTTCTAAATTTAAACCTTTCAGAAAATGAAATTTTAAGATTCTTCGAAAAGAAGAGATGACAGTGACCCTGAATTTCAGAAACTATTTGAAGAGCACAATAATTAAGCATCATTTTAACTAATATAAAATTAGAAGGAAACAAACATGATATAGTACAGATATCATTTGGGATAGAAATCAAAAGATTTATTTGTGCCAAGTATGTGAACTTGGATAAGTCACTTAGTCTAACTGGGCCTTAGTTTCCTCATCCATTTTATGATTCTAACCTTCGATATTACCATAATAAAATCTCAGAATGGTAATCTGAGATAAATTTAACATTTAATCTCTTTTGAAATGAGTGAAAGTTTCATATCTCTTCATATCAAACGCAAATGGCATTATGGTTAAACTCCCATAAACTGACAAGCAACTATTCAAAATGTAGTCACATCTGGGAAAAGAAGATGTCTTAAGAAAACACCATTTTGGCCTTGTCTGTGTCTGCTTTTCCTTTGAAGAATTTTTTTCTAACTTGAAATTCCTTCAATTTCCTTACTTTCTAGTGAGATGACTTCTTCCTTAAATGTACTGTAACCTCTCATTTCTTTCAAATCTACCTTTTCCTTTTCCTTTACTATGCTCTCTAAGAATTTATAGCTTGTATGCATTGGAGGATTCTGAATGGAAAGCACTACTTGTTTAATTGACTGTAAAAAATGTGATGCAATTCTTTCTCCCCCTTACCCCCCCAGATTCCATGGGTCCGACTTCATTTTGGAAATTTCTTCTCTCCACAAATACGTTACCTCTTAATAAACTGCCTGAAGAACAGAAAGATGAACAGAGGATACAAACGCAAAGTGAAAAGAAAGAAGCAATGGACAAGGTAAGCTGAAACGAACACTTGACCTCATTACAATCTGGGGTAAAAAAAATCCAAAAACAATTTTATCACCATCAGACCAATCACAAAGTCAAGAGAGACCAGCTTCCAATTGCATTCAGGTAACATAAGGAAAGAAGCCAAGAGACAGTAGGTATAAATTTCCTCCCTTCCAGAACTCGGGTAGCACTGATTAGACAACAAGTGTAATATTCTATGTCTGTATTCCAATATTCAATGTCAAATGCCCATGGTCTCCATATATGCCTTCCTATTACTATTACTTAGGGTTACATTACATTTTGAACTATGTTAACATAAAAAATTGATCCAAACCCATTATTTTCCAATGTATTTTTGCATACTATTCATAAGCTTTCATTAGTGAAGAGTTTTGACAAATTATAATGCAGTGTGACATTTATGGCTTCATCATTCACCCAGTTTACCCAAGCTCACACTTTCAGTGTCATCCTCAACTCCTCCCTCAATCAGTAGATAAGTCTTGTCACTCTACCTTCATAAAATCACGTTTACATCTCTCTATCTGCAATCAAATGAGTTTTCACAAATCGAGGTTAGGCCCTCATCACCTCATATGCAGGGTCCTGCAATTTGCAATAGTCTTTTGGATTTTCTTTTTACCTCTAACCTCCACTCAGCTGCCAAAGTGATTCCTCAAGTGCTGTTCTGACAACATTAACACCCGGCTTAACAAAACGAAGTGCTTCCCAATTACATACAGAATTAAATAACACTCCTCAGTTTGGCATCTTTAGCTTTTCAAAACCTAGCCCCTTGCTACATTCCTGGTATTCTTACACATTACTGTCATCCATGTATGTTCTCTACTACCCAGCTATACTTGCCAATATATTGTTCCCCCAACTTCAAAGCTTTTCATTGGTTTAGCTACATTCCTGGAAGGCTCATTCTTAGCTCTGTCTCTTGGTTTTCCTGGCTTCTTTCAAGACCTAACACAATTCCACCTTCTTCAAGTGTCCCCCTTGTTTCTCAATTGCCTGTGCCTTCCCTCTGAGATTATCTTCCATTTACACTGTATATAGCTTGCATTTACCTAGATAGTGACATATTCTCTCCCTCATTAGAAAACAAGATCCTTGAAAGCAGAGAAAATGCTCCTAATTTTTTTTCGTATCCCTAGAACTGAGCAGAGTGTTAGCACAAAATCAACAAATGTTTGTTGACTGCATGACAAAAGTTGGGCAGTTGATTCCTCCTTTATTTGCCTCAATGACAATTTTATCGTTCTATTAGTGGAATTACCAATAAGGAGGAATTCTATTCTAGGTCTGATTCTCTTTATTTTGGTACAGTTCTTTATTAGTGCCCTTCTCAATGCCCAGTTGAATATCTCTGCTGAGTAGATGCTGTCTCTGCTCAGTTGACTACAAATGAGACTGTGACTTATTTGTTTGTAGTGATGGCAGGTGGGAGATGGAAAGAATCTCTTGGTTCAGATTACATAGTGATGAAATGTACATATTTGCCATCCCAGGTTCAGAGAATTGAATAACCCTAGGTTAATTTTACTCCCATAGCCAGCTGATGGAACCCCAACCCCAATCCCTAGCAGCTCTACTCCATTGAAAAAAGTCTTCCAGAACCTAGGAGACAGTAGCAAACTTGATGCACTAATGAGGGAGAGTTTGTGCTGGATATCAATGAGACTGGTAAGTAAGGGTTATATAATGCACAATAATATATGAAGTACTGCTCATTTATTCCCAGACAAGGTAGTGTTTTTCATACATGAGAGCCAGAATACTTCCTTTAATTCTAGGCAATCCACTATGATATTTCAAGAATCTGTAATTTCTTTGGTGTGGGTTTCTCCTTCACACTAGATTGCAGATCCCTTAGAATTCAGTAAATTGTATTTCAGAGTGGCTGTACCAGGAAAATAATGATGTTCTGTCAAACCTGGTGATGTTTCCCCAAGTGGACAAGGCTGGTCTTCAGATGCTACACATAACCCTTCCAAAAACCCTTTCAGCTAGAAGGATTTGCTGCAATTGGAACACTATCAACATAGCTCTCAAGAAAACAGGGTCATCTGTACCACAAGATGGCAATCTTGTAGGACATTGGTGGAAGTCTGTGGTAGCCAGGCATCAATTACGCACGGCTCCTGGTTTAAGCATTGTTGAATGTTCTGTGCGTGTACACAAATGAAGTTTGGCTACTGGCAGCTTCAATGCTTTCTGTGTCATGTAACATGTGGACCGGCTGACTGAGCCTGATCATTCCTGGGTGACACAGTATTCAGCTTGGTGATCTGAAGAGGATAGCTCTAATTTTGCTTAGCTCATTTATTCTGAGTTTCGCTTCTCTTTTCTTGGTTGCTCCACAGATTTCTTAACCGACTCTCCAGTTTTGAACAGACCAACAAAAGAGGATGAAGAGGAAAAGGCAGACAACATGGAGGCATCTAATGAGCAAAAGAGAATGAAAGTACAACACAAGTTCTCAAACTATCAATTAGGGATTCTCAAGGAGAACTTTCATAGAAATAAATATATAAGCCCTGATGAAGTCCACTTTCTTTCTGGGGTCCTGAGCCTGACTCCACAGCAGGTATGTTTCATCTCCTGAGTAGAAACGCACAGGATGATGTCCTCATCCTCTCTTACTTTTGGTCTTGGTGCTTCTTGAATAGCTGATGACATTTCTGGTGTTTCCTCCTTAGAATTCATTTTGGTTTTCCCTCAAAATATCATAACTTGGGGTCAAGAGAAGATTGCCAAAGTCAAGCTCTCAGTAATGTGTAAGGATAGAAATTGGTTCAGATATTGGCTCATCTAGTAGAAAGGGCCTTGGGTTGGGCTACAGAAGACCTAAACTGAAATACTTTTACTTAATGCCCAAGAATCCTTGGGAACAACTGCCCATTTTGAGCCCATGTCTCTTCTTTAAAATATCAATGTTAGATTATATTTAAAATCTCCCCACTGTTTTCAAAGTTTTAACATCACCCAGAGTGTCTATATTTCTTCAAGATGATTATTTCCTTCCCAAGAAGATGTTTTATTATAAACATTGACTATTTCCAGAATAAACACAAATGTGTTCTGGAAGGTAATTTTGGTATTTGTAATAGGATTGTTTAACAAACATTATTATATCATAAGCTTTTGCATTTCCTCTAGATCCAACACTGGTATCGTAATCAAAGATCCAAAAGGACTAAATATGCAGGCTCATTAAAAGGAGCATCTGATATACAAGTAAGTCAATTTTGAAAATTTAATCCAATAAGTATTTAACATTACCAAATACAGGCCAACACTGTAGGAACTGCCTACAAGGTGAAGAGACAACATGGTGGAGCACATAGACAGCTGGTCTTGGAATCAATCATTGAGTCCCACATCTGATACATATTACATTTATTTGACCCTGGACAACATATAGCAAATCTCACTGCCTCAGTCACCTTCCTAAGACTCTAAGTACCCAAGTGGGTGACTATCTGATCAATATTTGGTGTCTTATCATTGGAAGATATCTCTGTATAGGGCTGGGTCAAACACCATTGCTCAAAACACTGTGCAACATGTTGGGGCTATGATGACAATTAACAAACAGTCCTCGGTCTCAAGAGCCATGATTCTATTGGGAAGATTTTATACACACACATACATACACACACGCATGCACGCACACACATACACACTATATATAGATATAGATATAGAAATAGATATAGATATAGATATAGATATAGATATAGATATAGATAATGAGGAATCAACACCAGGGAATTCTAATCTGCATCTGATTAACTTTATCTTTGAAAAATATCCCTAAAATAGTTTTTAGTTCTCAATGCTTGACGATTTGACCTTCTTTGTAGTGGTTCAAGGTGAGAGATAGAAAGTAACCTATGAATCACAATAGATAAAGAATTTCAAATGTATTTATGACACCAAAGTCATGGGCTTGAATAATGCAGGGTCGTTTTTACCCCCACAGGCAGCTGATGGAATCCCAGCCAGGAGTATGAACAATTCTACTCCATGGAAAATGTTCCAGAACTTGGAAGGACTTGATGGACTGAGGGGGGGAGATGTGATTTCTAATCCTGAGGAGAGTGGTAAGAAAGGGGTAAATAGTACAGAGAAATATTCACAGTACTTTTTTTTCTAGACAAGATAGGGTGTCTTATACTCACAGGTCAGAGTACTTTTCTTATAAATCTAATTTACCAACTCTGACTGTTTAGGGATCTATAATTTCATTGATGTGGTCTGCTCCCTCACCATTCCCAGAATACAATCCCTCTACAAAATGAGATGTTATTTATGAATGACTATGCTTAATAACTCATCTCTTTCTGGGCAATCCAGTGATAATCCTCCCCAAATGGTTGAGGCTGAGTTTCAGACAGTACACATAGCCCCAAATATAAACCTTTTTACCTCAAAGGATCTGCTGTAACTTACATATTACAAGCACAGTGAACAAGAAATCAAGGTTTGTCTCTGTGCCACAAGATGAAATGAAGTAGAAAACAAATGAAAGCTGCTTGTAGTCAGACATCATGTCAGAGTAGACACGTGGGCCTGAGGATCCTGGTTATATCTTTCTGGGATGTACCCTGGGCCACAGCTAGAGAAATTGCCCAGGTCCGGTTTGGCTACTGGGAGCTTCTACATTTTCTGTCTCTTAAGAAACATGCAGTCTGGCTGTGACCCATCATGGCCATCACTGGGCGACATCATTTTCAGTTTGGTGATTTTAGGAGGCTTGGTCTAATTTCATTTAGCTCACTTTTTAAAAAAACTTTTTCTTGTCCTATCTTGTTTGCTCCTCAGATTTCTTGTCCCAAACTCCAGCCTTGAGCAGATCCAAAAATGAAGATGAAGAGAAAAAGGCAGAGGATATAGAAGCATCTGATAATCAAAAAGGAAAGAAAGTACGACACAAGCTTTCAGGATATCAACTACAGACTCTCCTTGAATACTTTCATAGAAATGAATATATAAGGCCTGATGAAGTCCAGATTCTTTCTATGTCACTGGATCTAACTCCTCAGCAGGTGTGTTTCATCTCTTGAGTAGAAATACTCAGGACTGGTTTTTTTTTTTTGGAGGCAATCATGATTAAGTGACTTTCACAGGGTCACACAGCTAGTAAATGTCTGTGGCTGGTGCTCTATCCATTTCACCACCTAGCTGCACTTCAGGGCTCTGTTCTAATTCCTCTCTTCCTCTTCTTGATGTTTCTTGAATACTCTGTCCTTGATAAGATCTTCAGTATTGTTTCCATACTAACATCATTTCCTCTGTTTTCTATTATATTGCAAATAAGAAATGGTTATAATTATAATACTCAGGCTGTGAAGTTTCAGCAATAAAACAAAATTGTACAACTTTTGTATTTCCTGCAGATCAGATTCTGGTTTGGTAACCAGAGAGCAAAGAAGAAGAAATTTGAGGGCTCATTCAACTGAACATGAAATATGGAGGTAAGTAGATTTCAAAAGTTTGATCCAATAAGCGTTTAATACTGTCCAATTTTTTTAAAGCAAAGAGGAGAATTGGATTGTTTTAATTAAGCTGGTCACAGATTCACAAACAGCTAGGTTCACATCACTTTTTTACTCATACTAGTCATTTGTAGTAAATATAAGTAAAATGACAATAATTGGAAATAGTTTTACTATCATGAATTGTTCATACTTCAGAAACTTCAGAATGAAAATAATACCTTAAGAACTCCCACTTGGCTGGAAGATTAATAAATGTGTCACACATGTAGGCTCTAGCATTACTTTCCCAAGTCTCACTTTGACTTAGCTGAGATCAATGCTGCTCCACGTCCTGTCAGGCTCTAGTGCTAACCTCGAGGAGATGATGGTTTGTTTTTTAGTGCTATATAGCTCACAATCCCCCACCAGTACGCTTACCTCCATGACAATAGATTATCAATTTTTTCAGCCAGACACCAATTTTTTTAGAAATGGGTATTCACTCAAGGAAATATAAAAAATGAAGATTCCCTCTAGTGCTGCTGGAGTCCAATGGAAGGTCAGCTCAAGCCTTAGAGAGCACATGTGAAGGGGTAACTCAAAGCTCCTGGGAGTTCTTTATCTGGAGTCCTCAGAATGTTCTTAGGTATGACGTAGACTTTTCTACTGGGAACTCTCTAAAGCCTTGACTTTGCAAAGACTTTCTCATTGTGTCCAGATGCAGACAGAAGCTACTATAAGCTATATCATATATGGCACTACGAGGTTAACGCAAGGACAGAAATTCCCAAATCCTTCTCATCTGGGATCTTCTTTCAGAGGTTAGAGGAGACTAGTCCAAGAGTCTAAGTTACTTCTCTCAAATTAATTTGTTCTCAAGAGATTAGAGAGAATGCCATATCCTATCTGCTGTCAGGTACTTCATTTCTTACATTATGAAAAAGTGCCCTGGTTGTCTCTGGGCCCTACAGATTATTTCTTTTTACCAAATTTCTCATACAGACTTCCTGTCACTCCTAGGGGAAATGTCTTTGGTTGATTCAAGGAGGCATCCAGGCCTTGGTCACACACCAAGTTTAGTTCTTAGCTTACTGTCTGAAGCATTGAAGATGCTTAATAAATGCTAGTTCACCAACTGACTGAAAATTGATTCAATCAAGCAACATAGTGCCTGGCACAGTGAATGATTGGTGGCTTGACTTAACTGGTTCTCAACTGGCAAAAGTAATTACATTTAAAAGGGGTGGAGGAGTCAATTGATGTCAACCTTTATGAATGGCATTAGACAAAGTTAAACAAATGGTAAAGGAGAAAATTTGAATGTCCAAGAAATTACAGGGACATCCTATATGTCCTTAAAAATGGGCCCTAAAGGCTTGGTTTCTATTTCTAGTGAGGACCTTAGGGGAAAATATAACAATGTCCCCGCTCTTGGTTTCCTACCAACTCATCACCTTAGCTTTATCCTTATACAGAAGAGAATTCTTTGTCTCTCCAAGCTCAATGGGGAATGTCCCTCCCTAGAATAATCTCATTTCCAAAATTATGAAAAAAAACCCTCTGTAATTTCTCAGTCCCTATCTTGGATGACTTGGAAGTATCTAAACATTTTGGTGGTGGGAAAGGAACCAGCAGATTATAAAAGACTGAAGATGAAAGAGAGGGAAATGTTTAGGAGGGAGAGCTCTTAGAGTTGAGAATGATGCAATCATGGACACAAGTAAAAGGGTTACACTCATAAATGAGAAAGCAGGGGTACATTAGAGCCAGCTAAAACTGTCTCCTGAGAATCTCTTTTTAAATTTTCAATGTGAGTGTGTATACATGTAAGTATATAAGTACATATGTGAGTATACATATATATACACACATATACACATATATCAGAAATCAGCAAATGCTACAAATTTGTTATGTTGCCAATTATCTAGTGTTAAGAAAGTTACAGAGAAAATATTAATTTTATTAATAATGTTAATAATGCAGATTAAACTTAATAGTTTGTTCTGCAGAATATATCGATATGTATTTATCTATAGATATGTGCACATATACTCATAGAAGAATCAGTTATTGAACATTTACTAATACACCATAGGAAAATGCCAAGATTTTCACCAGAGCCTGGAAAAAAGGAGAGAATATGGATATTCTAGAGAGGGTTTTTTTAGGTATTATTTAGGTGTATTTTAGGTATTTTTTAGGTTGATTGATGATAAAGATAAAATAAAATAACCCAAAAGGATTGGGAAATTTGAAATTCTTGATAAAAAAGGTGCAACTGTTGGTAAGATTAAGCATATGAGAGTGCCCATATTTCTTTGAAGTGAAGATAAAATCTGTGAGAGTCTAAGAAGGCTGGGGAATTGAGAGATTATGACAGTTTTGAAAACATTAAAACATGTTTTAAAGAAAGCCCTCATGATGAGGGCAGAGATTCAAGTAGGTTGCTCCTTACTTGGACAGAAAGGCAAAGATGTCATATAAGCAAGCGTATACAAGCTGTTTAATCACAACATCCAGGGATGGGGGTCCTTCTGCAAAATGTCATCTCTAAGAACCAAAAGTCTGTCTGCCAGGCACTGAGTGAAAGGAAAAAGAAATACCCAAGGAAGTTTATGGGAAAAGGAAACAGGAGCATGGATTTGATAGCAATTCCTAACTAGGATGATTCTTTTCAAATCATTTCTCTCTGCTTAGAAGTGACCTACTGTTTAACCCATTATTGTTGGAAAGCAGAAGAGGAAGTCTCTGATCCAGGAAGTTGGGAATGACTTTACAAAAGTGATGTGTCCTTAGATCCCCTTTGAGTGAACCATTCTCTTATTGCCCTCCCTACTAATTATCAGACCTTTCCAATAAATGTCCTTGAATGGAGAGAAGGAAAAACTCCTAAGTTTTTTCCACTTTGTTTGTTAGTTCCTCAACTTCAAGGGTAATTCCAGGCCTTCTCCAAGGAGCCTTTAAAAGTTTTTCATTATCTTTCTTGACTGCACTATCACACACACACACACACACACACACACGTGTGTGTGTATGTATATGTGTATATATGTGTATGTATGTATATATGTATATATATATATATATATATATATATATATATGCTTCTATCCAACGTGATTTTATTCCTGCCAAAGTAAGAGGAACTGTAAATTAGTTTAACATCATGTCTTCAGAAATCTATCACTAAAGAAAGTAACATTTTTTTCTTTCTCTTATTTAGATTGCCAGATATTCAGGAGCTGTTTTCCCAAATTCAAGTTCCCAGAATCCCATGGTTACTGCTGTTTCTTCATTCCATAACCATCATAATGCAAGATGAATACTCATTCTTCTATGAACTTACCCTCCAAACATTTATCAGTCAGCACAAAGGGAGTGCTTCCTATGCTTCAAATGACCAATTTCTTCATTAAAGTCTGGGCTGAAAATATTTTGTCAATAGTATCATCAACTTGCAAACAGTCGATATTCGATCAAAAAGATATAAATCATTTAATGGCTATGCAATATTAAATACTATGACAAGTTATATATTAATGACTAATTTATTATTTCAACCCTTTAACATTTGATTATAATTTCTTTATTTGCTAGTACGTTATCATGTCCTATAAAAATGCGTTAGTATGCTGAGAAATGTGGGTATTATAATACAGGTACTTCAGTATTCTCATTGATGAAGGAATTGGCTAAGCCATTCCAGAAAGGACACAAAGAAGGACACAAAGGAAAATTAAGTGATGAAAATATATATTTCCCCCTCTTCCTCCATATACACATACACACGCATGAGCATGGTATGCTTGTGCTAAACAAACACCAATGAGATTCTATTACTTTCTAAATCAAATACCAAACCATCTTTTGGGCACTCCAAATCCTCTATGATTTCACCTCTTTTTCATCTTTCCAATCTCCTTAAGATTTACTGCTTTCCACAAATGCTTCAATACATCTACACCGGTTGATTTGCTCTTTTTGACACAGGGCATTCTGTCTCCAGAAGCTATACGTTTGAACTGGCTGTAGCTGATACCTGGAATGGTATTTGTCTTCCCTTCACCTCACCCCAGTCGCTTTATGCTGAGCTATTGATAGCTTACCTCTGCTTAGATATTAGAAAAGGGGACCAACCATTTAACTGACTTTGCATAGTTCCCTTACCTATGATGTCTGACTTAGGAAGAGAATAACTTGTTTTCCATCTCTCATGAAAATCTTAGCCATTCTGAGGTTCTCTGGTATAGAAACTATGAAGATCAAGTTATCACTGCTTACTGTCGAACAGGAGATCAAGATGTATGAAGTCCAAGGATACTCTCTCAGAAGATCATCACTGAACCCCCTCTTCATACTCCTATGATGACCATGAGATCGTTGATCAATAAATCAGTAAACATTTATTAAGCACGTGATCTCCAGTGATTAAAACCTATTGTTGCACTTTGTTTTAAGCTCAACTGCTTTGGAAGCCCAAATTCCTTCCAAACTAGTCCATTATTTTTGTAGGGTCTGAATAAATTTTTAATGCTATCCCACTGAGTGGAAAATTGCTATGGTCTCAGTATGGTCTGGCTTTTTGTTTGTCAGCTTATTTCAGCATTTTAGTGTTTGTCACTTCACAAGGTAAGGTTCTTTCACCTTCTTACGAGTCACTACTGGGGCTGAATCATTTAATGAACATAGTACAAAATGAATGCACAGATTTTCAATCGCTATCAATCCCTGTGCCAGGGATATTCGAGCCTTCAAGTTTCACAAGTCTTAGCTTTTTTTCCCCATGTCTTTTTATGTCTTGTCTTCTGCCTTTCCAATCTAACATCCTTGAGGTCAGGGACTGTCTTTTTCTCTGAATTCCTATTCCCAGTACTTAGCACATTGCCTGGCTCAAGGTAAGTACTTAATAAATGGTTTCAGAATGACTTGATATTAATGTGTAAAAAACATTTCTAAATCGAGGCACACAAATGACACCATGAAAATCATTGCCAGTAAACTTTAATATGTTTTTTAATTAATCTACAGCTTTGTGCAGGTAAATGAAGAAAGATCAAAGAGCAGGACAAAGAATAGATAAGGCAAATATCTTTGTCATTTATCTTGTAGAGAGGGATATTACATAAACACACACACACACACACACACACACACACACACACACACACAAAATTGTGGACAATGTCATGACTCCCATTTCCAGCCTCTTCCTGGTGGGGTTTGAAGTCCAGGCCCATGTGTGGTGTCAGTGATTCTTCTAGTTTGAGTAAGGCAGGGCAATGCACGTGTGTTCTGCCAATCTCTCGCTGAGGGGCCCAGGCACCTTCTCCCCAACACTGTGCCTGGGGTTAATGTTTCCAGCTTCTTGCCCATGGGGCAGCCTGTACTCTCTAAATCAGGACTATGGTGCTCGTGATAGAATTCTCTCTGCCCCCCTATCTCTCCCCATTTTCTCTCTCTCTCTCCCCTTGTACTTCATCTCAGTCTCATCCACCCCTCTTTTGTTCACTCTTCCTCCCGATGTTCCTCGTCTCTACTCTTCCCCATCTCTATCAACAAAGGAGAAGGTGAATTGGAGGGGAAGACTGCAGGAAGGGAACTTGAGCTGGAAAGGTAGATGAGAAGGCACTTGCGATAGTCAAGGTGAAAGGTGATGTAATTGTATACTACTCCAGTGGTGTCCGAGGTGAGAAGGGGACTTGGACATAAGATGCATGTAGGTGCTGTAAAAGCACAAATGATTGTATCTGAAAGTGGATTGAATGTGTGCTGGTAAATGGCGCGGTCTGTGAGCAGGGAGGCTGGAGAAGGGAAGAAGTTGGGGAGAGAATGCCAGGAAGGGAGTGAAGCTGGGAGTCCAGGGTGACATTGAGATTGTAATGCTGGGCGAATGGGAAAGGGCTGCTTCAAGTCACAATCCACAAGAGCTGGGTTAAGGGGAAGGTTTCTGTAGGAAAGAAAGGGACAGTGAAGAGTATCTGCAATCCCGACCCTTTCTCTAAGTTTGGTGGGTGTGGCATTCTCCCTTCCAGGGAAGGGTGGTGGAGCCTGCTTGGCACCTTTACTCCCATTCAATTTGCTTCAATCAGCGGGTGCTAGAAGGACTTTCACTTCAGTTATCACCAAAATTTTCCTTCCCAAACCAAACTGAAGATGTTTCCGATTTCATTTCAGTTTTTTTCGGATATTGAATGACTACCCATTCGGTTCAAAACAGCAAGATCTCACATACTTGCATTGATCTTTTACTGACCACTTGCTCTCATGACAAAAATTTGCTACAAAAGGGTAAAGCAGGGACAAGATCTAAGACCCAAATATGACAGGATAAAATATCGTCAGCTCCAGTTGGATTCAGATAATTCCATTTTCCAACCATGCAGTATCAAATCCACCTCATAGCCAGACTCAGGAATAGCCAGGTGGCTAACATTCCTTTTCAAAGGAATATAATGGAGAAACTGAGCCAGGAGGATCCCATCTTAGACTGAGGCTAAAATGGTCTTCTCAGTTTTTCCCAATGTAGACTTCCCACCTGTATCACATTCTCTGAGTAGCTTGTGGCATTTCTATCAGAGATGGTGGATTATTGATTGTTGATAGATTATTATGATCCATCAAACAACTCAAAATAAAATCACGTATGGTCCCTTCACCTTCTATCTCAAACAGCAGGTTTCATTCATCACAGCTTAGGAAAAACTTTTCCTGGATTTACATCTCAAATTTAAATTTGTCCTGGCATAAAAAGCCAATTGTTAGAGATGATTTCCATGTACTTGAAAATTCTCGACAAGCCATAGCCCCAATAAGCTTTTTGTTAAGTTTACACATTAAAACGATAACCAACAATAGCCAAATTGCTTTAGCTGTAACCAAATTATGAAAAGTCACTTGACGTAACTAATACAAAAAGTTTACCGATTGGAAACTTGAAACAAAGCCATTAGCAGTCAGGCAACTTCAGTTTTGTTAAATGCATTTCCAAATTGCTTTATCCAGAGAACTGGCATCTCATCATTAACATGCTAAAACTACAACTTTAAAAGAGCTGCTTACTCAGGTTGGTAGGCTAGCTAGTTTCTTTACCCTGGCCCATCCCCCTTCCCTCTCTCCCCCCCTCTGCTGAGGGTTGAGGTGGGGGTGGGGGATGAGCAGTATGTGCTGAACTTGGGTGGTGCTTCCAGGCAAAGGTTGCCCCAGGGCCCAAGGTCATTGGCAGTGGGGCCCACGCTGTAGTTGCTGCCTCTCCCCACTCCTTACTTTCGCCAAATGGGGGAGGGGGGATTCCAAGGTGAGGGGGGGGAAGGGTAAAATTCTCTTCTCCTGGGAGAAAAGGATATCCTCTTGAAGCAAGGGAGGGCAGTGGGAGAATGGCATGACCAAGCTTGTAAGCTTCAGAACTCCTTAATTAATGATCAGTCACAAACCTTCTAGAATCTGCTAAGAGGTTTTTAGCTGTCCTAACATTGCCCTGTAGCCTCCACCAAAAAGGATTCAAGGGTGTAGAGGAAAGGGGGTAAGTAAGCCTCATGGAACCAAAAAGCACCTGCAGTTTTCCCTATTGCCTAGAGCCCAGAAAATTGACAAAATTGGGCATATGCTTCCAGATAGGGCGTCCATCCTTGTGCTCTAGGCTGCCGAAGGCACACACAAATCCATGGCCTCGAACTGAACCCCTGAACCAAGAGCCTGAGAGCTGGCAGCATAAGTGCAGACAGCCTCATAGCTGTCTGCCCAAAAAGCACCTCCAAGCCTTCCTAGGTGCTTGGAGAGCAACCCCAAATGCAGGGCAAGTAAGAGAGGGACAAGAGGCTCACATACCTTCCAGTCTTGGCTGAGGAAGAGCTTGGGGTTAGGCAGCTTCCCTTTACAAGCCACCAAAATGTTGAGCTTAAGAGGTTTAAGGGTACTGGGACACCAATATCACAACACTTGGGGCCTGCCCCAACTACTTCAACCCAAGCCTTCTTTCAGCCAAAGACAAGGTTTATTCCAACATCTATCAGGGGTGGGTGAGATTTAAGGAATCTGCCATATTGGCAAGACTCTTAAGGAATCAAAGTATTTCTATGGCTAATGCGGGCTGATTGGATCTTAAGAATCTAAGCCCTTGGCTAACTCCTAAAGAATGTGAGCATTGGCTAGATTATAAGTTTCCGACTAGCTTAAGCAGGATTCAAACCTTGCGTTGAGATCTATTTTGCCAAAGCTTTCAGCTGGCACATCAAAGGAGTCTCTACAAGTCACTTGGAGCCAGGGAAGACAACCTGCTGATGGGGTGACTCTGAGGACGTGATATTTTATGGACTACCCCAAAAAAAGATGCCTCCAAGGAGCAGACACCTGCTTGGGACACCGGGGACTCAAGACAAAATGTGCAGCTGGACTGAACCTGGCTCACATTTTTATTTGGCCATTACTTTGTTCTCTTGTTTTGTGGGGTTTGTTGACCGTTGGTGACTTTGCTGTTCAATTAGTGGGCGGGGCATTAGCCCTTCAGGGGAAGAGGGGTGGAGCCTCCCAGCCACCTTTACTCACATTCACTTAGCTCCGATCAGCTACTGCCAGGTTGCATCCTTGCCCAACAGGTGGGCGGGCCCTGGAGCTAGGCCCTTTAAAACGAGGGCAGCCGGGAGGCTGAGCAGCAGGAAGCAGCTGAAACTCCAGCAGAGCACAAGCACTGAAGCTCTTCTGAGCGGACTTTCTCTACTCTGACGTTTTAAGCCTAAGGTGTCAGAAGAGTCATCTCAGGGAATCACTGACCCGTGCAGGTCACTCAGTAGCCATATCGCTCCTCTGAACCTCCCTCCCCCCCTCCCGGACCCCTTTGCTTTTCTTATCCCGGAGGAGCACTGTTCACCTAAATACAGCCAGGAAGACTCCAGAACTCTTGCCTCCATCAGGCTCAGTCACCCTGTTGCTACTTGCCATCGTGAGGATGAACAGGGGGCCTAAGAACGGAGGGAAGGCTGAGAAGAAGTCAAGCAACAAGGATCCAATCCCCGCGAGGCGAAGGAAGAAAAGCCCATACGAGCCAGAGCTCCGAGGACTTGGCCATCGAATTTCCCCCCTTCCCGGCCAGGGACAAGCACTGCCGCGGAACGCAGCAGCATGCCCGGAAGCCACAGCCTTGGGATCCTGGAGACGGGGCTGGAGCAGTGCTGGAGGAGAAGACTCTGCATTGCTGCACCGCCCTCTTTGCCCCCGGAAGCCAGAAGAGCGTGGAAGAGATAGCGAGCCGCAGGTCCTTCTTCAGATTCTTGCGTTGGCCAGGGACCAAGAAGTACAGCTCAGCCGCCTGCTTTCTAAGGACCCAGTCAGTACAGAGGACCTGGAGAAGGTGGCGCAGTGCAGAGCAGGGCTGCTGGGCCACTATGAAAGAGTCATCCTCTCTGATGTGGGCTTCTCGGAAGTGCAGAACGTGAGCCAGGCCCTCTGGAAGAATGCTTTCCATCAGGTGATTGAGAGGTTAGGGCAACTCCTTCGGCATCCAAAGACCATGAACCCAGAGCACATGCACGAGAGGCTCTTGGCAGTCTTGGACCAGGGCACTGCCTTCTTTGAGAGTTTGCTGGAAAAACTCCAGAAGCAATACAGGTTTCGGCTGGCCGACCACACGGATGGATTGGGCCTTTGCACCAAGCCGTCAGAGGACCCCTTGAAGTATGCCTTGACCTGCGCCCAGAAGTATATGATTTGCCTAGGAGATATCGCCAGGTACCGGGAGCAAACCAGGGGCGCAACGAACTTTGCGCAAGCGCGAAGCTGGTACCTCAAAGCTCAACAGATTGATCCCTCAGACTCCCGCCCTTATAACCAGCTGGCACTGTTGGCGGTGTACACCAAGAGGAAACTGGAGGCGGTGTGCTACTTCATGAGAAGCTTAGCTGCCGCCAGCCCAAGTGCTTGCAGCCAGAAAAACCTCGCGAACCTCTTGGGAGCAACCGAACGCAAGGCAGCAGACAGAAGCAGGCTGGCGATGGGGAGCAGTCCCGGCGCCGGGGACCTTCAGCGAAGTTTCACCCGCAGTTTTCTCCAAGCTCACCGCCAGTTGTTTACAGGCCAGTTGGAGACGTTTCCTGAAGTGGCTGATCAGGTGCTCCAGACTTTCCAGCTCCTCCTACAACAAAGTCCCGCTTCTGTAGGAAATCCCCAAATGCTGCGCCTCGTGACCATCAACATCTTCGCTGCCCACAGCTCTCAGAAGACGGAGACGTCCTCAGAGTCACGCTGTCCTTCGGTCCAGGGAGAAGCTACGGGGCTAGGACTGGCCATGTTTAACGTGCTGGTGAGGTGCTGCACCTACTGGCTGGAGAAGTGTCCTAGAGCTCCCGTGTCCCCCGCAGAAGGTGAGGAGAAAGCTCGTCAAATCATGGTTTCCTCCTTCAGCCCCGCCGTCAAAGCACTGCTCCCCAGTGTGAAAATTTGGTCGGAATGGATGCTCATCTCGAAGGCCGCCTGGGACCCTACTCCCACCACCCTGAAGCCTTACCCAGAGGTTTCCAGGGACGTGCGGGGGACTCTAGAACTTCTCTGTCAGACACTGATGACAGTGAATACTTCGGAGGTGCCCTTGTACATGAAACCGGGCAATGAACTCATCCTTCTCACCCTGGAAGAGGACCGGCTCTTCTCGGGCTTCGCCCCCTTACTGGCCGCTCCCCGAGACCCCTGCTACCTGAAGACAAACTCAGACAAGGTCGTGGCGGGGAACTGCAGGCGAGTGAGCTTGTTGAAAGATTTGCTAGAAGCCCTTTGCCGCCAAAGGATGAATCCTTGGCATCCAGAGACTGGCCATGCAAGAGTAGTGGAATGCAGGCAAAGGCAGACAAAGGAATCCTTGGAATGCAGAAATGCAGGGCCACCTGAGGCCCTGGCACCTGCTGCAGACTCAGTCAAGAAGGAACTGCAAAGACAGCAGCAGCAGAGAAGACTGGGACTTCAGGAAGATTGGAAAGAATTCACAGACTTGTTTGTGGAAGGTAGGGGAGCTCCTGGCTGTGATATCAGGGAGCTGGAGGCCAAGAAGCTGGTGCTGGCCAAAAAGATAGCTGAAGAGGAGCAGCGTCGAGAGAAAATCGAGGCTATTCTGGAGGCGCCTGCTCAGGACAGGCAGACAGAAGAAGAGGTGAGCCCCAGGTTCCTGGTAATAGACACCAATAGCTTCATTCAACACCTAGAGAGCCTCAGCAAGCTGTTAAAGGAGAGGAAACACATCCTTCTAGTGCCCCTGATTGTAATCCATGAGCTCAGTGGCCTGGCCAAGGGGCAGCAGGGAGACATGCAAGGAGATGGGAAGGCTGGGACACACTCCTGTGAGCCTCAGCAGCAGGCCCAAAAGTCCATCAAATTCCTGGAGCAGCAATTTCAACTTGCCAACCCTCACCTCAAGGCCCTCAGCAGCCATGGGGAAGAGCTGGAAACCACTGCCTATGACAAGAAGGATTTCCTTAGCCAGCAGGGAAATAAAGATGACCACATCCTATCCTGCTGTCTCAACTACCAGAGAGTTCAGGCCAAGAACAACATGCCTCCCACTAAGAATGACCAGATCCAGCCCCATCCCTGTGGCCTGGTTCTACTCACCAATGATCGGACCCTTCGGGTGAAGGCACTGGCCTCCAGTGTGCCAGTGTGGGACAATGAAACATTCCTCAAAGAAATGAAGCGATTGAAATGTCATCGTCCTCCTCCTGCTCTTGGGAGACAGCACCAAGCTCCCAAGAGATTCAGGCCAGCACTAGATCTCTGAGGCTTCTTATTAGGGGCAAGCCTCAGCAGATTTGCAGGACTAAAAGTATTTGACTATCACTTAGGAAAGTTGTAGGATTCTTCTTTTAAAATTAATCATTTAGTTTTCTATTTTTAGTTTTCAACATTAACTTCTCTAAGATTTTAAGTTCTAAATTTTTTGAAGGGTTTTTATTTCTTATATTCTTATTTATTTTTAGCTTTCAACATTCACTTCTATAAGATTTTAAGTTCTAAATTTTCTCCCATACCCTGACCTCCCCTCTCCCCAATATTGCATGCAATCTGGTATAGGCTATACATATACATTCCTATTAAACCTAGCTCCACATTCATCACGTTGTAAAAAAGAACTAGAACCAAAGGGAAAAAGCAGAAGAAAGAAGAAATAAAAACCAAAAGAAGAAAGAAAAGAGTATATTCCAATCTGCATTCAAACTCTGTAGTTCTTTCTGTGGAGGAGTATAGCATTTTCCATCATGAGTCTTTTGGAATTTTCTTAGATCCTTGCATTGCTCTGAAGAGTTAAGTCTGTCAAAGTTTGTCATTGCACAATGTTGCCGTTACTGTGTATAATGCCCTCCTGCTTCTGCTCCCTTCACTCAGCATCAGTTCATGGAAGGCTTTTTTGGATCATGGCTTTCTAGTAGATCAATAATTCTTAAATGATCTCTCCTGGATCTTTTTTCCAGGTCAATTGTTTTTCCAGTGAGGTATTTTACATTTTCTTCTATTTTGTCATTCTTTTGATTTCATTTGACTGATTCTTGATGTCTCCTAGAGCCATGAGCTTCCACTCTCCCAATTCTCATTTGGAACCAATTGTTTTCTTCAGTTAGCTTTTTTACCTCCTTTTCCATTTGGTCAATTCTACATTTTAAGGAGTTCTTATCTCCAGTGAGTTTTTGTGCCTCCTTTTCCAACTGGCCAATTCTGCTTTTTAAGGAGTTGTTTTCTTCAGTGAATTTTTTTTCCCATTTCGCCAATTGTATTTTTAGGGAATCGTTTTCCATGATTTTTGTCCTTCTTTTCCATGCTGTTGACTTTCTCTTGCATACCTCTCATTTCTTTTCCCAATTTTTCTTCTTACTTCACTTTTCAAATCCTGCTTGAGCTCTTCCCAGAAGTCTTTTTGGGCTTGAGGCCAGTTCACAGTCCCCTTGAAGGTTTAGGATGTAGGCATGTTGACAATGTTGTCCTCTTCTGAGCCTGTGTTTTATCTTGCCTGTGCTGGCAGACTCCACGGCCAGTGTCTGTTTCTGCTTTTTGCTCCTGTGTTTGCCTCTTTCCTGGCTTTTAAAGTGGAGCTCTCCTGATGGAGCACAGGGGCTCTGTCCCAAGGTTCTTGTGGTGGGGTCAGGGGCCTGGTCACTCACTGGCTTTGTGTGCTGGGGATTCGGATGCTGGCAGCTGGAGGCTGTAGGGGTCTGGCAGCTTACCTGGTGCTTAGCTGGGGTCCTAGTGGTGATGTCTGGTGTGTGCTGAGGCCAGGTGGGCTTTTCTGTGTTTCTCCAGGGCTCCACTGAAGTACATGGGGATCTGGCCGCTAGAGGATGCCTGTCAGCTTGGGGCTGGACTGAATCATGGGCAGGTGTGGCCACTGGAGGATACCTACTGGCTGGTGCACATGGTGATTCTCTGAGCTGGAATCTGCTGGTTCCCCTGGCTGTGCCAAGGCACACAGGGGTCTTGGTATTAGCACTTTCCTGCTCCACCACCCTGGGGTTCAGGATCTCTCACAATGTTTGCTAAAGTGGAGTTTGCCGCTGGCTTGCTGGGACATTTCCAATTTTGAACTGGGCTCTCCTTCCACCAGAGATAGAGGGGCTTTCTCCCTTATCTCCCAAGCCTCCTGGGCTAAAAGGCTGCTCCACCCCAGCTTAATGCAGGCTCCACTATTTCATGATTTTTCCTGGGGCGCAATTTTCTGGGTTTTTCGAGAGTCAATAAGGGAGACTGAGAGAGACTTACTGTTTACTCTGCCATCTTGGATCCTGGAAGTCCAAGTTGTACAATTCTTTACCAAGTCATTTGAGGTTACTGTCATAATATTAGAACCTAAAATTGGTCCTTGATTACAGTGTGGGAAAGGGATGTTTTAAAATAATTTTTTAAAATTTTTCATGTAAATATCTTTAAATTCTTCTCTTTCTCCTCCTCCTGTCCCTTCTCTTTTTTTTCCTCTTTCCTGTCTCTCTGTCATCTTGTCCTATCTATCTATCTAACTATCTATCTATCTATCTATCTATCTATCTATCTATCTATCTATCTTTACATCCTTAATTCTTGAAACCAATGTTTCCTAGATCTCCTTTTCCCTTTCCACCCAGCTTCACAAAAGTTCATAGCAGAGGCTCATTCATCAAGTAGAAGTCCATAATGTCGTTTTCCCATTTGATACCAAGAATGGTCATTATTTCTGGCACCCACTCAAGGAAGACAGAAGAAGACATTCAAAGATCCCAAAAAGAGGTTTAATAGAAATCACAGACAGAGGCACACAGGAATGCAGATAGATATATAAGAAAGTCATCAAGAAAACTCAAACATAAACACCATGAAATAAAAGGTAAAACAATATGATGATGATCATGAATATGAAATAACATCAAGTCTCCTTGTATCCTAGCAATCCACTCCCAATGTGCATTTAATCATTTCATCTTGTCTTGAGTCCCAGATGTAGTCATCTGGTCCTTGGATCTCATCTCCTGGACATTCTGGAACAGGCCTCATTCTCAGGGCAGCTCTGAGAGGGTTCTGCTTGCCTGTTGCACTGTTTTGTAAAATGTATGCGCTGTTTGGAAATTGATTGCTTAAGCACCATCCAGAGCCTTTTGTGGTAGTGGAAGTAAACTTGGCAAATTTTAGGTAAATTCACATGCATATCCTAGATCATGATCTCATAAATGTGTTCTGTACGTTAGGTTTTTTGTGTGAGGATGAGAACCTTAGCCATCTCTGCTCCTCCTAAGAGGGACATTGAATAATTGAATTGAATTGGAATGTATTTAAATTTAGTGGTATTTAAAGTTGGAGTTCCTGGGTCTTTAACAGTGAAAACTTGAGTGAACACTTGCGTAAAAGTATAGTAAACTCTTGAGAAAAAATTTTGAGAAAACAACAAGACCAAGTGAATACCTGTGAAACTTGGAAGGGCTTGAGACTTCTGCCTTCTGTGTTTTTTGCTTTCAATATTTAGTTTTCATTTGAATGTCTTACATATGCCAATGTATCATTAACCCTTTAGCCCATTCTGAGCAATGTTTATGTCAGGTACATGGTTTAGATAAAGATGTAAAGAGCCTGGGGTATTTCTAACCTAAACAGTATTGAAATCTTGCATTGAGATCTGTTTTGCAAAAGCTTTTAGATGGAACATCTGAGGAGTCTCTGCAGGATCCTTGGAGCCAGGAAAGTCAACTTGCTGGAGAGGTGAGCCTGAGGACAGCAGATTTAACAGACTGCCCCAAAAAAAGATGGCTCCAGGGACCAGAAAACTGTGTGGGACAGGAGGGCCTCAAGACAAAATGTGCAGCTGAACTGAACCTGGCTCACTGTTTTATTTGGCCATTATGGTATTACTTTGGCCTATTGCTTCGCGGGATTTGTTGACTGAGTTTTTTGGTGACTTTGCTGATCTGTCCATCCTCCACTCCCCTTGCTTACACTTTTCCCCTAGCCTTAGAGACACTGAACTTTTTTGTGTGTCCCTTGTCTCTTAAGGATACCTGCTAACTTCTGGTAAGCCTCAAAGACATGGTTAAATCTTGTTAGGCGGGGGGGCGGGGGGCAGGGGGAGGGGGAGAGGTCTGACAAATGTGGACACTAGCTCTGTAATGACTATACTATTCATTAGAACTTGCCTCTTCGCCAAAGAGCAGGACATTGGAGTTGTACAACAAGCAACCAGTCAGTTAGAAGGATTTCCAAGGTTCAGAGCTGCTTGATAACCCAGTGTGTATGTCATTTTGTCAGTGAACTCTGGCCAGATTTGGAGATGCCTGTAGCTGCCAGAAACTACAGAACCAGCCTTGATCAGCTCAAGGGCAATCTCGAGCAGAAGCTGCAGCCTCCAGACCTTACTCAGGACTTTCTTAACATCCCACTGCCTGGCTTCTTCTGTCTACACATGTCCTCTCCCTGAACCTCCACTCCCCTGTGAAAGCCTCTAGAAACTCCAGGCCTTTCCCCTACAAGTCTTTCTCTCATACAATAAATGTGTTTCATCAGTGATCCGACTCTGTTTCATTTCCTTTTATGTGCCTGGGGTTCAACTGTAAACACTTCAGTCCTGAGAGATGGAGGCCTTTCCTCCAAGACCCTTGTACAGCACAAAGAACAACATCATTTCTAAGGATAAAGGAAATCATAGCCCTTGGGGGTGACTAGAATTCAGAAGGGTGGGAAGGCATGGAGCAACCAAGGGTGGCCATTAGCAGTCAGGTGACTTCAGTTTTGTTAAATGCATTTCCAGCAGCAGCTAGGTGGTGTAGTGGATAGAGCACCGGCCCTGAAGTCGGGAGGACCTGAATTTACATCTGGCCTCAGACCAAACACTTGACACTTACTAGCTGTGTGACCCTGGGCAAGTCACTTAACCCCAATTGCCTAAAAAATAAAAAAATTTTTTTAAAAATTAAATGCATTTCCAAATTGCTTTACATCTCATCATAAACGTGTTAAAACCACAACTTGGAAAGATCTTGGCTTACCCAGGTTGGTAGGTTAGCCATCTTCTTCACTTTGACCCATCCTCCTTACCTCTCTCCTCATGGCTCCTGGGGGTTGAGGTGGAGATGGGGGTGAGCAGGATGTGCTGAACCTGGATGATGCTTCCAGGCAAAGGTTGCCCCAGGGCCCAAGGTCATGGGCAGTGGGGCCCATGCTGTAGCTGCTGCCCCTCCCCCTCCTTCCTTTCACCAGGTGGGGAAGGGGGAATTCCAAGGTGGGGGGGAGGGTAAAACTCTCTTCTGCTAGAACAGGATACTCTCTTGACTCCAGGGAACGCAGTGGGAGAAGGGTGTGACCAAAGTTGTAAGGAGGTGTTTGAGAACTCCTTGATTAACGATCAATCACAAACCCTCCAGAACCTGCTAAGATGTTTTTAGCTTTCTAACTTTGCCCTGTATTCTCCACAAAGGAAGATTCAGGGGTGTAGAGGAAAGACAAAGTTGCCTCAACTACCAGAGAGTTCAGGCCAAGATCAACATGCCTCTCTCTAAGAATGACCAGATCCAGCCCCATCCACGTTTCCTGGTTGTGCTCACCAATGATCGGACCCTTCAGTGAAGGCACTGGCCTCCAATGTGCCAGTGTGGGACAATGAAACATTCCTCAAAGAAATGAAGTGATTGAAACGCTATAGCCCTCCTCCTCCTCTTGGGAGACAGCCCAGGCTCCCAAGAGATTTAGGCTAGCACTAGGTCTTTGAGGCTTCTTACTAGGGTGAGCCTCAGCAGATTCACAGGACTAAAAGTATCCAACTATCACTTAAGAAAGTTGTAAGATTCTTTTTTTTAAATTAATTATTTTTGTAGTTTTAGTTTTCAACATTCACTTCTCTAAGATTCGGAGTTCTAAATTTTTTGAAGGGTTTTTATTTTATTATCAAGGAAAACTGCCCTGATATTCTAGAACCAGAAGGTAAAATAAAAATGGAAAGAATCCACCAAACACCTCCTGAAAGAGATCCTCAAAGGAAAACACCTAGGAATATTGTAGCCAAATTCTAGAGTTCCCAGGTCAAGGAGAAAATAGTGCAAGCAGCTAGAAAGAAACAATTCAGGTATTGTGGAGCCACAATCAGGATAACACAAGATTTAGCAGCTTCTACATTAAGGGACTGCAGAACTTGGAATATGATATTCTGGAGGGCAAAGGAGATAGGATTAAAGCCAAGAATCACCTACCCAGCAAAACTGAGTATAATCCTTCAGTTGGAAAAATGGAAATTCAGTGAAATAGGGGACTTTCAAGCATTCTTGATGAAAAGACCAGAGCTGAACAGAAAATTTGACTTTCAAATACAAGTCTCAAGAGAAACATGAAGAGGTAAACAGCAAAGAGAAATCTTAAGTGACTTATTAAGGTTGAGCTGTTTATATTCCTGCATGGAAAGATATTTGTAACTCATGAGACAGACCTTTGTCAGTATTAGAGTAGTTGGAGGGGGAAAAAAATATATGCATGTATGGATAGATAGATAGATAGATGATAGATAGATAGATAGACAGATAGATAGATAGATGGCACAGGGTGAGTTGAAGATGAATGGGTGATATCTGGAGAATAAAATTAAGGAGTGAGAGAGGATTACACTGGGAGAAGGAGAAAGGGAGAGATAGAATGGGGTAAATTATCTCACATAAAATAGACAAGAAAAGGCTGATTTCCTGCAGTTGTGGATTTATATTTTCAGGACCTTTTTTACCATTCAGGTACGATCTTTTTTTGTGTCCTATATCTTTGTGCCACTGATGGAAGTCAAATTGCAATGATCTGGCTGACACAAAATGGGTTCCAATCTCTGTCCAGATTCTAACTCCGAGACTTTGCTTCCTGTGATGTAAATTATGGTCTGGATCATATGAGGTAATACTCATAAAATGCTCTGTAAAACATAAATCCCTGTTTAAATATTAGCTACTATTATTATGAAAATGAAAGGAATGGAAAAAAGCAGTCTTTAAGGTGCCTTCCAGCTCTAGTGGTAGGTGAATATATGACAATGATGATTGCTACCATCAAATAGAGTCTTAAGATTTGGTAAACACTTTAAGTATGGTATCTCAGTTGAGGCAGGTTAAGTGACTTGACAAGACGACTAGTGTCTGAGGCAGAATTTGAACTCAGATTTTCCTGAATCCAAGTCCTTCATTGTACCTTCTAATCCATCTTGAAACCTATTTGACTCTACATCAGCTCAGTCTCATCATGAATTGAGTGAGTCACTTCCTCTCTCTAAAGAGTCACTTCAGTGATCCATTAGATCCTCCCAGCTGTAAAATGATAATGCTTTGAGAGTATGGTGGTTGGGCTGGGAATTGAGGAGGCACCAAAGCTTCCTTCTATAAGCTTTCTACAAGTATTTGTTGGTTCAAAGTTTGCCACTTCCTACTTCACACCTCCCAGTAAGGAGACTGCTGATTATGAAGAAACGGTTGACTTAGCACCTACTAGTCAATCAATCAATCAATCAGGAGGTTTGTTTTCAAAACAAGCCTAGTATATGGGAACAGAATAACAAACATGAGACAGTCATTACCTCAAGAACTCTATAGTCTACTGAAGCATTAAAATGTCTAAACTGCTCTACATTTTTATTCCAAATTCCTACATCCTTTGTTCTGTGTTCATAATTTCATACACACTTTGTAAATAGACATTGGGTTTGGTAGTTTAGAATGGCTTGATTGGATATGACTGGAGATCTATATCCAAACTAGGGAATAATGTTTCAAGCATCCATTCAGGTTGAGTGTGTTAAGTATGGCGTCAATTGACTTTAATCAGGACCTTGAAGGGGTGAATTCCTTTATTGATGAATTTGTTGATTGACTCTCCCAGAAGATATAAGAGGCTTCCTCCCCCTTCAATTCTAGATCACATGAAACTGGACCTTGGGCTTGCTGGTTTTAATATGGAATGAACTTTTCACCCTCAGGTAAGTGAGCAATGGGAAGAAGGATAGCTGTGGTTTTGTTCAGAGTTTGCTCGAGGCAGATGTGAAAATAAATGAACGTTTTTATGGGTAATGGCTTTCAACTATAAGATGGTGAAGGGCAACAGAAAATATTTGTTTGTGGGAGCCTAGTAGAACTCAGCTGAAGCACTAACTATACATTGCAGAAATAAGAGGAAAGGAAGGAAAGGGGACACAAATTTATTAAATACCTATAATATTCCAAGCACTGTGGTAAGTGCTGTAAAAAAAAATTATTTCATTTGATCCTCACAACTACTCTGTTAGGCCTATTGAGGAGACAGAGGTCTAAGTATAAGCACCCAAACACAAGCACCCATTTTATGGCTGAGAAAAAGTGAGGCATTTAGAGATTAAGTGACTTTCTCAGGGAACACAGCTAGTGAAGGGTCTAAGGCTGAATTTGAACTTAAGTCTTCCTGAGACATGGTGGCTCAGGCCAGCTGTAAGACTACATGAAGGAACAATGGATGGAAGCTGCAGAGGCAAATTTGTGATGTCAGAAAAACCTCCTTATGATCAGAGTTGTTCAGAAGTCCAATAGGCTGCCTCAGAAGGCATAAGATTTCCTATTCTTGGAAGCCTCTAGAAGAAAGCCTTTACAAGGACCTTTACACTCTAAATATGAGAGAAAGAGAGAGGAAGAGGGGATCTCCTAGGGAATAAGCAGGAAAGACCTAAATATTCTCAGTTTCAAAATTCCCCATACAAATTAGTCTTAAGCATATCTCTATTTCTATTTAGGTCTCATCACTTCACATTGTGCAGAAAAACACCATGGACAAAGGTGTGAAGAAGACATTCCCCAGTGAGACTGGTGGAACAACCCAGTATAGGACACAGACATCCAGTCTACCTAAAGATGAGGGAAAAGGGAGAACATCTCAGCCTATCAGTCATATGCCAAACTCATTTGATGTTCTAGATTCTCTCCTGGTCAAATTAAGTGAGGAAAAGAATGAACCGAGTCACAACCAAGGGATTGGTGAGTTTTGGTCCAGGGTTTTTGGTTTTTGGTTTGGTTTTTTTTTTTGTGGTTGGTGTTTTTCACTTTTTGGAAAGGATGAATTTAGGTGATTTTCCATAATCTTTTTTTCTCTTCAATTTGTTAACAATGTGTAATGGTAGATGTGCAGAAAGTCTCTATGGGTCTTGCTGGGACCTACTCAAGAGTAATTGCTAGGCACAGAGCCTTTGGGCTGAGGAGAAACTGCCAGGGATAGTGTTTCTGAGGCTAGGGAGGAATTGGGGTCCAAGTACAAGCACCCAAACACAAGCACCCATGCACCCCATCAGAAAGGACATTGAGTCCATCTAATCAAAATAGCTCATTACTCAGCTGAAAAAACTAAAGCCCAGGGAACTTAAATTATTTGTCCAAGGTCACAAAAACTAGCATCAGGAGCAGAATTTGAACCCATGTCTTCCAATTCCAGAGTCAAGGCTCTTTCCATTGTGTTCAGCCTCGTTCTTTAAAGATTTTGTTCTGAAATTTAAGGAAAGGAGAGGAGAGTAAAGGAGAGAAGAGGATGAGAAGAGGATGAGAAGAGGATGAGGAGAGGATGAAGAGAGGATGAGGAAGACAACTTGCAAACAACCATGTACTCTCAAGTCATATAAAGTTAAATTGGAGGTCATCTCACTAGCAGTGGTAGGAATTGGGAAAATACTTTTGCAGAAGGAAGAATGAGTTGAATCTTGAAGGAAGCCAAGAAATGGAGACAAGAAAATAAAGAATTCTAAGCATGAGAGACAGCCAATGAAAAATCATGGAATCAGAAAATGGAGAGTTCCGTTTGAAGAAAAGCAAGAAGAGTAGTATTGAGAGGGGAGCGAAATATAGGAAAGGTAGAAACTGTCCAGGTTGTAAAGAATTTTTAAAGCCAAACAAAGGATTATATATTTGACCTTGGTGGGTAGTGGGGGCCCATGGAGTTTACTGAGTAAAGCAGTAAAACCTAATAGTAAAATCTAAGCTTTAGGAAGATCACTTTGGCAAGTGATTAAAGAATGGATTAAAGGAGTGGGTATTTTGGAGCCATTGAGAATAATCAGAAAACTATTGCAGTGTTACTGGCATGAAGTGATGAGAGCCTGCTCCAGGGTGATGACTATTCCAGAAGACAGAATGGGCAATAGATAAAAGATGTGGCAAACAACAGGACTTGGCAACATATTGGATAGGAGAAGTGAGGGAGATTGATTTGTCTAGGATGACATCTAGATTGTAAAGAAGAAACATACAAACAAGATTTTAAGTGAAAATATTATGAGTTGAAAACTCATTTTCTATATGGAAAAATGAGGTATGGTTGTACTATAAATTCAGTTTTTGTCTGAGCTAATAAGCTAGATTTTAAAGGAGGTTGGAAAAGAAATTTTCTTTATAGAAATTAGAAATTAATTAGAAATTAGAAAAATTAGAAATTAATGCTATCCATTATCTAATAGTAAGACCATTTTGAAAAGTGTGTATAACCATCTAAGAATATTACTTTGAAATAACTAACCACATGGGACTACAAATTCTTGCATGTGTTTTTTAAGTAGTAATAATGCACAATCACAATAATGCACACATAATTCAGCTGAGTCATCAAAGCTCTTATTCAAGGCTCCTCTTGGTACTCAGGCCTTTGTAGTGGCCAAGTTCTACCTTTAGTTCCAAGACTGTGATTTCAGAATTATTCCTGGGATTCTGAAATTTTATTCAGATTATTTCAAATCTGGTTCTTTAGTCATGTGAGAAATTCTCTGCTCTTAAACCTGAGCTTTTCATTATTGTTAAGTTGAGTCCTTACATAACTGAGGAAAAGGATGAGAATATTTTCTTCCCTTCCTGAAAATTCACACTCTTTGACTTCACCAAAGTTGCCTAGAGATAAGAAACAAAAATGGATAGGAAAGTAAGCACTTGCCCAGAATTTGGTGCCAGGAAGAAGAGACTTAACTTACTTGGTCTTTAATTATGAAAAATTAAAATTCATTTGTGAGCACTCTGTTTTAAGATAAGGTAAAAAGAAAAAGGAAGAAAAAAAATGAGTAAGTTAAAGATACAGTTTCTATTAGAAATGAGTTTTTGTGCTATAATTGACATTTTGTTTTTCTTCCTGAAGTGGATCTAAAAACAATTCCAAAAGTTACTTTCCTACAAGGTTTTGCACAAAGGTTAAGGCTACAAAATTAGAAATTAATGCTATCCAAATTGATTTCTTTGAGAAAGAAAAAAACTAATTCTGTAGAAATTTCCATTCTTGTGTAAGTACCTTCCCAAAAAACATGGCTTCCAAAGTTTGGATATTAAAGTGTCCAAAAAGATGAGTGAGATTTTTCTCCTTGGCCCTATACTGAGCAATGTCCGTTCCTTTTCCTTGTTTCTTTCTCTTCACCTGCTCTTTCATGGAATATGCTACCTCTTTCCTGTTGAAAGGCCTCATTTTCTAGAATGCAGAGGACAAAATGCTGTGAAGACTAGCTATGTCACCCTTTCCTAGTAGATTTCATGCTTTACATTTCTCTTTTCTCATTAAGATTAGTTATTTCTGATTCCCAAGTCAAAGGTGCCTTAGAAAAGGGTATGAAGAAATTTTGTGCTAATAATACTGCTAGGAGGAGTAAGTTCAAGCAGAGGAATTTAAGTCAACCTAAGAATCAGGAACATGGTGAATTTCAGATTACCAATCACCTACTGGCCACCCAACCTTATCTCCTGACTAAATTTCCAGCTGTAAAAGAACAGAATCAAAATTGGGTGATAGGTGAGTCTTGGTCTAGATCTTTTTGAGGAAGAGATCGATCATTTTTTCTTGTTTCTTTGTTCTCATTTGAGGAGAATGAGAAATAAGGCTGTGTAGGGATATACACTGCCAATAGAGAATAGAAAAGACCTGTTTTACTTTTATTTCAATAGTCTCAAAAGAAAAATTTTCCCTTTTTTGGATTGTTGATTGTCTTTTTAAAAAAAACCTCAGTCTTTTGGAACCTTACTAGCAAAAGGGGAGGATGATGATAGAGTATTGAATATAATGTTTCTGTTGAAAAATTGAATGTGAATATAACAATTCAGTTTTGGTCCTTTGTTGCACATAAAGTAGAATTAAAATAATTCAAAGAAAGGAATTCCTACTTGGTATAAGACCATTAAAATAAAAATTAATAAAGTTCTAAAGTCATTTTTTGAAAATAGCAAATCATGGAAATACACATCTTGTCTGATTTGGAAAGGTCTAATTAATTTCATTCATAGCAACTAGTCAAACTGATTACCAAAGCTCATACCTAGTACTCTATAAAATACCCTATGCCATAGTAACACCAAAATTCTATCTTAAAACTAATCCTTCAGAGATGTCTCTGTTTTTCCCTATTTTTCCTACTCCACCTTTTTTTTCCAGATGTTTTCTTGGCATCACATAAGAGATGATCAGGACTTAGACTTTCATAGTTATTTGGAATCTGATCACAGAAAAAGCTTTCCCCAAAGTGAAAGGAAGCACTAACATGTTCTCTTCTTGCCCAGTAAATTCAAGACCACTCCCATCATCCCTGGATCCCCATCATGCATTGATACCCATGGATGACAAACAGAAAATTAGTGGAAAAGTCCTTGCTAATTTTCCACAAAACTTTAGCCTAGAGGAAGGGAAGTCAAAACAGCATGGAGTTCTTGGATCCACTTTGACTGACTACAGAAGTACAGAGAAACCTGAGCCAGATGTACCAGGTAATTTCTCACAGAAATTTTTTTGGGGCATTTCCCATCCATATTTCCAGCTTTCCCAGCAATTCAAATTAATGCCAAATAATTTTAAGAAGAAACATTCTTCCTGGATGTGTTTTGATATCACACTACACTCGCTTCTATTTCCCTCTATTCTTTTCAACTCCGAACAGAACATTCAGCCATGTGCTATTGATTTATAATTCTTACCAAGCTTGTATTTTTCACAGAAGTCACTTCTTTTGAACATGGTAGCATTTCTGGCCCAATGCACTCAAGTAAGGACATACAATTCACTTCATTAATCAGACATTGGTATTTTCCTGCTTTCTTTCTCAGTCATAGCGAATATAAGTCTACTCCACCCAAGTAGTCATCTAGAAATCCTGCCACCCTCACAAACTGACCTGTCCCATGAGCAACCAAAAGAATCAAAGGTGAAAGTGACAAGGAAGAAGAAAAGGAAAGATAATGAGGTAAGACTGAACAAAATTCCATTGTATTTTGGGTCCACTTAATCCAAAATAATTTTCCCATAACAATCCTAATCATGAAGAGTCTCTGGAATCATTTTAAGTTAGACTCATAAATCATGAAACAAGGTGGCCAGACATTCTTGGAATGTCTGTTTCAGTAAGACGACATCAAAGATACAAGTAATTTTCATACCTTGGTTTACCTAGATTTTCTGGCAAATCATCACATGTGCCCACATTTTCCTGCTTAAAAATGCTGTGAAGAAAACAGTAATTGGCCCCAATTTTTCTTTCTTCCAAAATATTCCCTCAAACATTCCATTTAATTAGAAAATATTCCCTGAAGATAAAACCTTCTCCCATTGTAATGGCATGCTATATTATTTGTATTGAAGGATGGAAAGTTTCTCAAAAGAAAGAGAGAAGAGTCTTTTCAAAAAACAGTGCAATGCCTCTTAGAAATGGTTGAAATGATGGTAAGTATGTTTTCTCAACAACCCACACACTCCTATTAGAATGTCTCATCTTAGAGATACAAAGCAAGCAAGCAAACTTCATCTATGATAGCTTGGCATGGAGTAAGCTACAAATCACTGTCAGAAACATACTTATTTTCTTCTTCTTTTTTTTTTTGCTTTTTTGATGAGGCAACTGGTGTTAACTGACTTGCCCAGGGTCACACAGCTAGTAAGTGTCATGTGTCTGAGGCTGGATTTGAACTCAGGTCCTCCTGACTCCAAGGCCAAAGCTCTGTCTATCATACCACCTAGCTGCCCCTCATACTTATTTTCTTATACTGCATATGCAGTTATTCTTTTTCTTTTTCCTTTTCCTTTTTTCCTTATAATATGCTTTCTTACCTAAATATATCACAATCTAAAGATACAATTGTACTGGTCAGAGTGAAAGCAAAAAGACCAGCTATTGTGGTCCTCTCAGATGTATCCAGATGAGAGGTTATCCCTAGGATATGGTCTCATGACAACTATGAGGTAATAAGTGTCAATACCATTGGGTTCAGCTTTCGAGATAACAGCAACATGAGAAGGGAATCTAATTTTCCACCCTTCCCCCGGAAAAAAATGCCACTGTGGCACATGATGGTTAACAAAACTAGTTTCCTTGCTCATCAGAATTCCTAGGTAATGATTAACTTGAGAGCAACAGCTAGATTTAGGGATGGAACACAACTTTACTCAAAGTTTTAACTATGTCTTCATGAGACTCTTTTAAGTCTACATTCCCACACCTTATGAGTCCATAAAACAGCTATCATTCTGTTCCAGATGTTTGCTATCTATAGTTAATAACTTTTTGCATGCTTCAACAATGGTGATTACTGCTCAGGAGTGTAAAGAATCAAATAACTGAGATACACACAGAGAGCAGGGCTGATCAATTTTTCTTTCTGATTAGCCCAATCCACCCTCCAAACTTTAAGGCAGGCTTCATAGTTATAGTCTACATGTTAAAAGTCACTCGAGGCTTTTCTTCAATATTACAAATATAGGTGGTCTGGCCAACGCAGACACATGGAAGATAGCCAGAAAGGGCACCCATTATACCTGCTTAGAGAGCCGTTCCATTTTTTAATATCTCAGTTGTTTATGAAGTATTTCCTTACAGCATACCAAAATTTTCCCCTGAAATTTCTGCCCATCACACTTAACTCCATTTCTTGGACCAAGCAAACCAAGTCCAATCCATCTTCTGTAAAACATACTTTCAAATATTTGAAGCTTGCTGACATGTGCCACTGCACTGTGTTTTCTTTCTTCTGGCTTGAACATCCCCACTTCTATAAATACATCCTAATATGGCATGTTCTGCATGTTCTGCAGCCTTCTCAGTATCACTGCCACCCTCATTTGGCTTCAGGACAATTTTGCAATATTTTTCTTAATATGTGGTTGTCAAAATTGAGCTTGTGCTCCATATACGTGTCTGACCAGAAAAAAAGGGCAGAAGATTTATGACCAGCAATTTCCAGTTAGTTTTCTATTCTTCTCAATAATCTCACTGCCCAGAACATGGTGCAGTATGAACATTGCCTTTTGTTGTAAAATGACATAAACTTCCTTACACTTCTCCCCCCCACAGGAAAACATTGTACAGAATTTGATCAGCAGACAAAGAAAATCTAAACCTTGAGACCACTTGCAACTCCTGCCTACATTTTGCCTCACCATATCCTCCATAAGTCCTCTGGAAAGCCTACAGAATATTTGCTGTTGCGGTGATTTCAGTTTGAGTAAAGTCTGCAAGGGAAAATATCATGTCCTGTGTTAATGGTACATTAGAAAGGGGCCTGCACTTAGATCAAGGTTTCTTCCTAACTAGATTCAGGACATGTACAGATGTTACTCTCAAAATTTTAATTATGAAATACTAGCTTATCTGGATGAATTTTATATGCATATATTTAACAGATTTAAAGCAGTTTGTAATGATGGTGATATACTGTTTCATATTAATTTTGTCTACAATGTTGAAGCAGCTGGCATAGCTGTGCAGTGAAGCATTTAATGTAAGTTTTGAATCTTCTTGCCTTGAACAGAGCTCAAAGGTTACTTAGAACTCTACTCTCTGATGCTTGTTAAGAGTTGAGGGTCAAATGTAAAAAAAGTCCACTTACTCCTGAAATGTTTCAAAACACTCATTTTTTGAAATTGAAGTGGGTGACTGCCACCCAGTACATAATGAAAAAATTTAGGAGGAAGAGAAAGAAATCAAGTTAGCTTCTGATTTTAAATCCTTTCATTTGTAAAGACCAGAATGTATGATTGTGTTTTTACCCATTTGGTTTAATAAACAGTACACTAGAAATGGCTTGTTGTTCAACTGATAATTTTAAAATTTCAGTATGATGGAAGATTTCTCAGAAAGATAATCATTTTGAAAATGAAAATCTTTTGAAAATACTTGTATGTTTCCAAAAAAAAATGTTTAGCTTAGTAGACAGTGTAAGGAGTTGCTTAAATTTAGCAATAAGGTAAAACTTCCTATGTAAATGGTCACATACTGTTTCCTAGGAAAATAAAACAGCAGAATTCTTAGATATTAATGTTAAAAGTTTCTCCTATTTTAAGATATATTTCCTATCCAGAGCCCTTAATGACATCTTTACTGTTGGAAAAATGGTGTCAATAGATTTGCTCAATACAAGGTTGTCAAAACCTCCAATTTGTAAGAAAAAATGCAATAAAATCAGGTGTATCTATATTCTTATTTTTCCTTAAAAGAAATTCTACGGAATGGTACCTTAAAACTTACTAAGAAATTTCAGCATTTATGAAACCATTTAAATCACAATTTAGAAATTCACAAAAGAGAAATTACAATTTATTCACAGATTGTTTCTAATTAGTTTACAATGCTATAAATTCCTGAAGACTAGAGAAAAAGAGACAGAGCATATTTCTTTTTGAGGGCTTTGAAAGTTCCACAGAGAAGTTTTCACTCTTTTCCCTTTTTCCTTTTGGCTGGTCAGGCCATAGGAAAAAGTCAATTTGGATTTACCAAGACACAAAACAGACAATGCTTACAAATAAAACATTTGACACTTCAAGTTCATGGAGCACACCAGATTGACTAATTTGTCCTGAAGCATACCTGATTGGCTGATTTGTTAACCTGCTCTTCTCAAGAAGTCCCAGATGGTATCTTTGACTGTCCAGATTCCTAGACTGCCTGAACCCCTAGACTACATGTGAAAATGTCAATTTAGTTCATTTAGATTCCCCTTCCAGACTGGCAGAGTAGGAGCAACTAGGGGGAGGAGGTGTTTGATATTTCAGATTCTCTTACCTCCTTAGTGGTGGTCACTTTCCATGCAAAAGTTATAGCCCTTCTCAACTCCATCAGAGTAATCCTCCTTCTCATTGTCATAATTGTTAGGTCGTAAAAATCAGAGGCAGAAATTATCTAAAGTTAATGAGAAGTTTATTGATTGTCACATGCAGTAGTCAGAATGTATATTTGTATGCTAAATACATGCAAGCAGGTAGCCTGCAAGAGACTACAAAATTCACCTAAATCACCCCAATTTTTATGTCCTTGATCAAACAACTCTGGTTTCTTCTCTTTTCCAAACATTTTCCCCAGTTGACATATTACTGATGCAATATCAGGAAACTTTTTCTTATGCTGAAGACATTTTTTTTCAGAACTTTCAAAAGAACTACCATATAAACATCATGGGGTGATTCTGGGCTTGCATGTGAATTGGATTTAAGTGGGCAGAGTTGTGCAAAGTGGTTAGTTTCACTATCTCTTCCAGAGTCATGGAATTCTAGTGACAGGACAAAAATTAAGATGACTGGTGATGGCCTAGGACACAGTAGATTACTTTAGCCTCTGTGATGTCTGACCGAGCTCTAAGTGGTCCACAGCACCTGCCAGGTGAAGTATTCACATGCTTGGGGTAGACATCCTCCTAACTCACCAATGGGTTTAAGGTTTGTTGGTTACCCTTAATCTGGTTTATTGAGAGGGTTTACCAGGGTTCAGCCACTGTGCATACTATAGCTTCTTGAAGCGGGTGAGAATTGGGCAAAGGTGGACACCAAAGGTGGATGAACAGCTGTGAAAAGGGCTCAGCAAGCCCTCATACCAAAGGTATTAGTCCTCCATACACCCCGGTTAGTCATTAAGCATTTACTAAGAGCCTACTGTGTCCCTGGCACTGTGATGGGAACTAGAGATAAAGAAAGATCTTTGCCTTTGACAATTCTTGTCCTTGAAGATCTCACAGTCTTAGGGGAGATAACATGTAAACAAGTACAAACTAGCTTTATGCAAGGTAAATAGGAAATAGTAAACAAATTAACAACTAATTAAGAATTAGGAAAGCCTTCTTCTTGAAGAAGGAAGGGAAGTCATCTGTAATTTGAAGGAAGCCAGGGAAATCAGAAGGGAAGGATGAGGAGGCAGGGCATTCCAGATGTGAGGAAAAGCCAAATACCCAGAGCTGAGAGATATGGCGGGATTTTTTGGAGGGAGAGGGGGGACAAGTAGGTCAGTGTTGCTAGACTGGCCTTCAGAGTGAGTGGGTGTGTAAGAAGACTGGAAAGGTTATGAAGGGCCTTGACCACCAAATAGGTTTTTATTTCATTCTAGAGGTAATAAGGAGCCACTGGAGTTTCCTGAGTATGGTGCTGACATGGTCAAACCTGTGCTTTAGGAAAAATCAGTTTGGTGGCTGAATGGAGGATAGACTGGCCAGACAGACTGGGGACTCTGTGGTCATTCTAGTTGGTGACTCTGGAGGGCCTTTCCCATAGATTGCCCCAGCTGTGGCAGCCAACCAGGGGTGCCCAGGAGCCTGCCCTCAAAGCATGCAGCAGGATTTCCTTGGGGATTTTCTAGGGTGCCTGCCTTCCCTAGAGGACCTTCTTTGAATTCTTCCCCCTACTTTCTCACCCCAGCTTAGTCATCTCTCCTTCCCCAGTTCCTCCTAAGGAAGCTTCTGGCACTCTCCTCTCCTGCTGCGAGGACCACAGCAGAGAAGGTGTGGGGCTGACTTAGAACCGTGGTGGACTAGGACCATCTGACTGTTTCTCAACTGAAATAAAGCATAGCAAATGCCTGGGTGAGCTGTTAAGGCCACACCATTTCTTTGCCAGCCCTGAATATGAAAGGAAGAAATTCAAAGAAGCTGCAGATAAATACTGCCCAGTTACTTTCACTCTCTTAGCCAATAGTGCCACTGTAAGTAAAGAGGAATTTATCATTCTTTTTTAGATAATAGTTCCCAGGATTTCACATTGTAAACAATTTCTAATGTGACTGCAGTGAGATATAAGGATGAGATAATGTAAAATTGTAAGGCTATCATTGGCAAACTGCCTTCTTGGTATACTTCTCTATAAATCAAGAGGGCACTGGTCAGTGAGTGGGGATTTGTTCAGTGCTTTGTTTCAATTGTGTTCAACTCATGGCCCCATTTGGGGTTTTCTTGTGTCAACCTGAATCAAAAGAAAATAGCCGATGTAAAATTGAGGTCTTTAATTGGGGCGGGTGAGTTGCTGCTCAGTATGCTGCACAGCAAGTGCTGGGGTACCTGAGGAGGGGGCTGGGAACAGTTTGTACAGGGTACAAGGTCAGAGGGCTGTTGTTTGTCCCTCATTCTCAAAAAGGACCATGACACCAGGGAGGTGATGACATGACATACAAGTGAACTGGACTTAAGTGAGGGAGGCCGTGCAAAGTCACCAGCCTTACTTTCTCCTCTAGAGCTGATGGGGTTGGGATCTGGGCACCAGAAAGGAAAAACTCTGGACTTTCCTACCTGGCCAAATCTCTGGCATTTGCTTGAGCCTATAATCCCATCAACTGGCCTTTCACTGTGGCTACACCCAATCTCCCCTCCATTGTCTTACCTCCCTATGGCCCCTGGCCATTTCCTACCCTTAATTCTAGCCAGGCTCCATTCTCCCTTGGCCACGGTCCAGGTCCCAGGGGTTCTGTTCACCCCAGCTTACTGGCCACTTCTAGGTCCCTCCCACAGTCTTTCTGAATATAAGGTCCACCTTGTCTCCATTAAGATGCTCAGATTCTTATAAGCTGGTGTGAGAGATGGTCTCTAAAAAGTGAAGCCTCCTCAGGGGATCAATAGCTCTTGTTAATATTTCTTGATTGTTGCCTTAAAGAACAGCCCTGCCCCCAACCTGAACTGCTTGCCCTTTGAAAAGCTTCCAGCCTTTTCTTGTCTCTGGGATAAGGAGAAGGGCCTTAGGGAGGGGAAATTGAAGTAAATTTCAGTTTCCTAGGCATTACCTAACTAATGGGAATTCAGCCCTAAACCCCTTCCTGATCACCACACCACTGCCATGTCAGCATTAGATTTACTAAATAAGGACATGTATGTTTGGATTGGCTATACCCTGTTTCCTTGTTCTTTGTCTTTGAATTTTTTTAGCCTAAGAATGTAAGCCTGCTTCCCCAGCCAATGGGAATAAGGGATAGTGGTAGGTGGAGGTTTGTTTGTGTTAGGGTATATAATCTTATTTGGCTTTCTGTGCCTTGCCTCTCTCCTCCTGGAAGTGTACCAGGGGAGCAGATACCCCTTCTTGGGAGATTGTAATAAAAAGTAACTTTTGATTCTACCTTGAGAAGTCTCTGAGTTTAACTGATTTAGACTCGCTGTCCCACACACTAGACACAGCTTAGATTCTTATAATCTAGCTACTGCTTACCCATGTTCAGACT